GGGGGCCTCAGAGAAATTTGTTTCAGGACAGCAGCTGGACAGCACTGGGACACAGCTCTGTGAGCGGCTCAAACCTGACAATGCAGGTTGAGGAAGGGAAGCTCCTGCTCTTACCTGTCTCCAAGTAGTTCCTTCTCTTGAAGTACTGGATGAGGAGGAAGCCTGGTACCACAATACTGGCATAGCCAGCAGCATTAACAAAGAAACGGAAGAGCCAGAAGTCCCCCCACGAGTCCTGCAGGGCAGGGGAGATCTCTTCACCTGCAGCCATTGTAGGGAGGGAAGCCAGCAGGAGAGGAATGCAAAATCTGTGGAGAGAGAAAGAGGCAGGTGGTGGTGGGCTGCTGGTGCACGGCAGCTCCACTCCACATGCCTGTAATACCCACATCCAGCCTGATCCTCATCACCTGTAATACAGCCTCCCAGACCCCACTGCAGCAACAACAGTGATGCTGGCAGCACACAGAGTAGGAAGAGTCATCTGGAGCTGAAAAACACAGGCCGGACATCTATGTTTGCTTCTGGTAAAGGTGGTTGCTCTGGAACACGTAGACTTAGAACCTTGGATTCCCAGGATTAGGGAGAACACTGCTGTAACCATCTGGTTTTGACTACACTCTTACTGCAAATGTAAGGAGCACCTCACACCTCACCTTTATAAGTTAAACTTTAGCACAGCTTTTGGGTGGAAATGGAAAAGGTCACTGAACAGAAGAATTTACTCCTACCTAGAAGCTCATGTTTCAAGCCTGTGGCAATGAGAGACCTTCCTCTGGAAGCAAACAGTTCAGAGCTTTCCCCTCCAGCTACACCAGGTGAGTGGATGAGAGGCAGGGTTTGGGGCTGTTAGCCTCCCCCACCTCCCCATGCAGCCCTGGAAGTGTGCCAAGGCATTCCTCACAGCTCAGAGGAAATCACCAGGGTTCACCCGCTTGGCAAAACACAGCCAGAAAGAAAGGCTGGAAAGGAACTTTCCTACCAGCTGTCTGGTTGGGATTTTACCAGGACTGTGCAATGAGGTATAGCTGATATTCTTCAGCTGTAGCTGTAGGAAGTGATCTAGCCAGCTTTAAAACAGCTTTAATAGTCCTTGAAGGAGTTCTTCCCTTCACTGTCCTCCCTCTCACAAAGGCAAACCTGCAGTATTCAGGGGCACCAGGTACTCAACAGAATGAGCAAGCAGGCAAGAACTTCCTACACCCAAGGCCACCTGCATCCTCCCCTCACAAAGCAAGCTGCAGATTCCCGCATCAGGGTAGAACGTTTCCCTGGTCCCTGCTACATCCCAGCCCCAGCTCCCTCAGCTGGAAAAGCCTCCCAGTTGCCTTGGGGACCAGGTGACAGTGCTCTGGGCTGGCTACATAAACACACACCAGAAAAGCTCCTGTGACTGAAAGAGACAGAGATGTTAATTCCTCCTCCACCTGAAACAATCGAATCAGAGAAATTTAGGCCCTGCTTAGGATTGTACCTGGCCCCAATGTTGTATAACTGTGACCTCTAGTAGTCCCCACACGAAACTCAGAAATTTACAAACTTAGGGACTTTACTTAGAAATTCACAAACTTTAAGGACTTTAAAGGCAAGAAAGTCCCCTGTCATTTCATGAGCAAGCACTCCCATCAGCCTCTTGGCCCCTTGAAAAAGACCTCAGGGACTTTTCTCATCCTCAGCTACTGCGGCCAGGCCCTCGGAGTTCAATAACCTGACCAAAGCTGAGGATGTGTTTCACCCAGAAAACTCCCTTCTGTGACTTAAAAGACATAGAAATTCCCAGACCAAGGATCAGTGCACATGGCTAGGGGTGGATTTCTCTGCCTGCTTCCTACTCCTCTGTCTCCCCCCTCCCCTGGAAAAGACAGTCTGACACCTCCACTCAACCTCTCCTGCTGCAGGGGCATCATCGCAGGCTGTACAGATGCTGTGGGATGCAAAAACAGGGCTCAGTGCTCGCACCTGGGGCTGAAGCTGCCCATGTGCTCCTGGGTTTGTCCGTATTAACTGTGGCCGATGGCAGAAACGCCGTTCACTTTTGCAGAAGTCAGATATAAATGACAGGGTCTGTTGCCACATTTGCAACTTGAGAGGGACTGCAAGCTCCGTTCAGCACGATTGCGCCTGCTGTTACCCCGCCAGCTCCTGCAGCGCTGCCATGGGAGGAGAATCAGCTCCGCTCTCCCACAGCGACCGTGAAGAGGAGGCTATGGAGGCACAATGGCTCTCTATGCCTGCGCTAGCAATTCCCAGGCCCCGAGAGCTGACTCAGTGCAGCAGCCCCTGCCCTCTCTGCCGAGGCTGGGAAGGAACAGGGACGCCAGTGTTGCAGGTAGAAAGCGGGGGGGCTGAGCAGGCAACATGCTGAGGCATGAAAGGAGCCTTATTCTGCGGAGCAGCCCAGGAGCCGAGACAACAGCGCCGGCCGCTGCTCCCCTGGGCCCTGCAAGGGCAGCTCTCAAAGGCACCGCTTCAGAGCCGGGCTGGCACCCAGCCCTCTGCCTGGGATGGACAATTTGGGTCCCGGCTCTGAAAAAGATCCCTGCCTACAGCCCTGAGACTCTTCAGCGCGCCTCCAGCGCCTGCAAGGGCTGAGGTCAAATGCACGCTTGGAGCTGACAAGCCCATACTAACATCGCGGGATCTCGTGTCTGCACCCTGTCCCCGTCCCCGTCCCCGTCCCTGTCCCTGCACGCAGCCGGGTCGCAGGGGCTGCATGCCACTGTCCCCGCAGAGCGGACGCCGCCTCTGCCCAGGGGCCACGAGCAGAGGCACGGGCTCCCCGCCGGCCGTGGGACACCCTCCCCCCCGGGCACAGCGCGGGGCTCCCGGGAGGGGAGAGCCCTAGGCTTGCCGCTGCGGGGCTTCTCTGCCCGAGGCTCCGGTGCCCCCGCGGGAGAAGCAGCGTGCGGCCGGGTGCGGGACGAGCGTGGTCCCGGCGCCGCCTCCCTGCCCGGCGGCCACGTTCGCAGCAGCAGGCCGGCAGCGCGGCGGCAGCCTCCGCCCGCCTCGCCCGGCGGCGGCGGCGGCGGAACCCCGCCCGGCGGGCGCGCTCCGCGCCCCACAGCGCCCCTGCCGCTCCGGAGGGAGCGCGGCGGGCGGGGCGGGCCGCGATCGCCGGAGCACAGAATCCATCATGTTGGAAGAGACCTGACACCATCCAGCCCGAGCTACGACCGAACACCACCACCTCAACTAGACCATAGCACTGAGTGCCACAACCTATCTTTCCTTAAACACCTCCAGCGAAGGTGACTCCACCACCTTCCTTGGCCTATTCCAATGTCTCGTCGCCCTTTCTGTAGAGAAATTCCTCCTACCACCCAACCTATATTTCCCCTGGCACACCTTGAGGTTATGTCCTCTTGTCCTGGCACTGGCTGCCTGGAAAAAAAGGCCGATCCCCACCTGGCTACACCCACCTTTCAGGGAGGTGTGCAGAGTGACAAGGTCTCCCCTGAGCCTCCTTTTCTCCAGGCTAAACAGTCCCAGCTCCCTGAACAGCTCATCATAGGGCTTTTGCTCCAAACCCTTCCTTCACCAGCTCTGTTGCCCTTCTCTAGACATGCTCCAGCACCCTCTTTAAGTGAGGGGCCCAGAAGACACAGGACACAATGGGAGGCCTCACAAATGCAGAGGGACAATGACTTCCCTAGTCCTGGTGGCCACACTATTCTTGATTCAAGCTAAAAGCCTTCAAAGCTGACCCCCAGCCCCCTCTGAGCTGCCAGCCCTGCACTGGGCACAGCCACAGCTGGTCCCTGGGGCAGGTGCTGCCCGGGGGCTGTAGGTCAGTATAGCACCCACTGCAGCCCCAATCCTGAATCCCCTATCCCAGCCCCAGGCATGGCTGCAGGGCCAGCTGGAGCCAGCACATGGCCACCCAGTGATGTTTTACAAGACACCTTTTTGAAACAAACAGTTTTATTTTAAAATAACAAAACAAACACAAAAGTGCAGATCACTTGTTTCTGCCTTTGCCCTTTGCTCCCAGCTACAACCCTGGCCACACCGTCCTACACTGCCCTGCAGCATCTGTCTTTGCTTCTTTGGGCAGCCTGGAAGTGCCTCATGTCCCTTGTGAAAAATGTCCTTGAAACAGCCCCATGGGTTTGCAGCAGGGTTGAGGCCCTGCCAGAAGGTGAGAGGCAAAGATTCAAAAGAAACAGAGCAATCCAGCCCAGGACTGCTGAGGAGACCAGGCAGGGTCCAGCGGCCTGGGGGGTCCTTATGTTGCTTTCCTGGCAGCATTCCCTTACAAGAAGGGAAGAAGAAGACAAGAGCTCACTCCAGAGCATCCTGGTCGATTGCACCATCCAGTATTTGTCCCAAACAATACCAGCTGCTCCCAGGCAACAAGTGAGGAATTTTCCTGGCTGAGATGGGGTAAGTCATCTTTGCCTCCATTCCCACAGCACCTTTGGCTGATTTCCTAATGCACTGCACGTTGCTCCTCTGGCTGGAAAAGTAAGTGGCAGGGAAGGGTGGTGAGCTGAACAACCAAAGGGATGGGAAAATAATGCTGCCACCTCTTCCACCTTCAGCCTGGGAGGATCTAAAACCCAGGGAAGACTCATACCCTAAGATTTTTAACCCCTTTCCAAGGCAGGAGAGGGGGCAGGATCTTCCTGTCCTCTGTGAAAGAGGAAACGACAGCACAGTAAAGCAGCAAGGTGTCAGGCACAATGGCAGAAGCAGGGATCCACAACCTGGTCTTCAGCATCTCCTATCTCAGCTCTTTCTCCAGCCAGATGTTCGGCAAGACAGCATGGGAACAGAGCACCTTGCTGGGATGCCCAGCCTCGGCCCTGAGCACTAGCAAGGCTCTGCAAGTGGGGAAGGCCCTGTGCTCCCACTCACCGTCTGTGGTGTGAAGGACCTGAGGGAGCAGGCAGGCTGGGGAAACCCCTGTAGCCCTCAGGTCCCCAAGCCCCCGCAGTGATGCGCAGCCTCCTCATGCTGTGGGCTGCGGGGTGGGTTAGATCACATGAGACCTCTGGTGCCCACAGCAACAACATTTATTAGAGCGAGTGTTGACTCTCCTCACCCCACACTTATTCTGATGGGGTGCCAGACGATGCTCTGTCTGACCAACAGTGTGAAAATGAGTCCTCTCCTGCTCCTTCCCTGTGTATGCTGGAGATCCCCACAAGTCATACCCATGGCAGGGAGGAGAAATTCAGTCCTGCTGCAGTGCACAGATTCTAAAAGAAAAGCATCCCCTGTGTAGTGCTCATAATGCCACCTTCTTCCATCTGGGAAGGCAGCCTGAGGCAAACAAAACTTTTCCAAAGAGGGGAGAGGCAGTGGGATAAGTCCCCCGAAGTGTCTCTGCTCCCACTGAACTGCACGCAGGCAACATCCTAGTGGGCAGCAGGGCAGCAGCACAGAGGAAGGAGGCAGCCCAACAGGCCAAAGGAGTCCATCTGCTCATTCAGAGCACACAACAGGCTTCCCTGAGATCTTCAGGTCATCGAAGGGCAGCAAGGCAAGGAGCTGCAAAGACCAAAGGTATGGACATGTAAGCATTCAGAGTTGTGTCTTCACCAAGCTGGGGTAGGGGCCCAAATGTTCCCCCCACCCAGTCCTCCAGCCTCCCATGTCCCCAGGGAAGTGCCAAGAAGCCCTATCTAGTCTTTTCCTAGGGCTCGAGGCAAAAGGCAGTTATCCCACACATCACAGAGCCAATGCTTACAACATACAGGGAAGAATAGGAACAGCTAGGAACTCCTCCTAGGAGGGTCCCTCTAATCATCCAACTCCTGCACCCCCTGACACACTTGCAGAGCCACAGGCTTCCCCCCACAGAGACTCACATCATCGTTGCCATCGGCCAGGTCCTGAGCTGTCTCGTTCTCCATGTTCCTCAGCAGGGTGTCAGCCCCAGAGTGTGAGAGGATGGCGGCGATGGCAGCATCCTTGCGGCCCACGGCCAGGTGGAGCGGAGTGCACCCGTTGTACATCTGGGCATCCACGTACGCCCCCTTGCGCAGCAGGAACTGGACAGCCCTACGGTTGTGGCACTCCACAGCCAGGTGCAATGGGGTCTTCCCGCTCGTGCCCTCCTGCAACCCACAGATCGCAAGGGTGTCGGTGGGGGGTCCCCTCAGCTGGGCCCTGCAGAACCCACCCACACCCCTTTGACAGGGTGCAGAGGGAAGTCCCCACCCTGATTGCTGTCACAGCACCCAAAAACCTCTCAAGGACCTTTACTCTCTGCTTCCTCAAAATTCAGTGCTCCCAAGCCTCACAGCAGTGCCTGCCCCAGGGCTGAAGGGAGTGCTCAAAGGAGAGACCCACCATCCCAGCCTTTACAAAACATCACACCATGCCCAGTCTTACCCGAACATCAATGTTGGCACCGCTCTCCAGCAGCAGAGACATCATTTGGATGTTCCCTTTCAAGGTACTGATGTGCAGACAGGCCAAGCCTGTGATGGGGAGGTAGAAGAGAGAGCCACAGTCAGCCCAGACCACCCTGGGGCACACCAATCCCAGCAGCATTCCCATTCTGCTGTGCTCCTGGATCCCTGCATACACATCTCATGGTCTCTGCCCTCATCTGGCCACCAGCTCTGCCGCTGCGCTGCCCCAGGTCTCACCTTGCCAGTTCTGGAGCTGCAGGTCCTGGTGGTGCCCACGGGGCTGAGCTGTGCCATCGGGCGTGGCTGGGCCCTCCAGCAGCTGCTGGGCACACTGCAGGTGCTGCTGCTCACAGGCCAAGTGCAGCGGGGTGTTGCCATTACGGTCCTGCAGCCTGGGGTTCACTCCCTTGTGGATCAGTGCCTGGATCACGCTGGGCTGCTCCAGGTACACAGCGAGGTGGAGCGGGGTCTGGAGAGAAATTAGGGGAGGGGAGAGATGTCACCCAAGGGGTCCCCAGCTGGGTAATAAGTGATATAGACTTTATGATTTATAGAAGGTTGATTTTTTTTTTTTATTTATTAAGAAACCCATACTTTTATAGACAGTTATGATATAGCTGGACCTAACTGGTCCTCTAATTAAAATACTATCACTATTGATTAATTAAGAAACTACCCTTTGGTAAACAAATCTCTATAACACATTCCACATGTTCACAATACCAGGGGTAGTAAGTTAAGATAAGAATTGTTTCTCATTCTTTTCTCTGATCTTCTCACATCCTTTCCCAGAACGATTCCTGGGAAAGTTGTGTTTCTCGTGCCAGAGAACTGTTGCCACAGGGGAGGATGCCCTGTAGGACACCAGGTATGCTGAGCCCACCAGTCTCCAGGAGCTAGCCTGGCAGCAAGAGCTGACTGCCATGCAGGACACCCCCATCCCTGTGGTGACATTACATGTGGCTGATACTGGTGGGGTGACATGGCTTGCTGCTCCCCTGTACCTCAGCTCACGGATCACCCATGGAGACATCTCATTCTCCCAAGTTATCTACCCTGCCACATTCAAGCCATGCCTCTTCCGTGGCTGTCTGCAATGTCCTGGGGCCTTGCAGAGAAACTCTTCACCACACAGTGCTGGGAGCTGTCACACTTCTCTCTCAGGGTATCTCCACCTCCCTTCTTCCCCTCCCTGCAAAGAGGCTGCACACACAGGACCTTCACCATGCTCTGGGGGAAGCAGGTCTGAGGTCCTGGGGAAGGGGCACATGGATTGAGCAGCTATCCAGAGAACAGCCTGTGGCATTTCTCTTCCTCCCACCTTTTGCCTATCACAACAGCATACCTGGAAAAGATCATTTTGGATCTCCAGCACCTCCCTGGGTAGCTGAGCGATGCAGCAGAGTGCTACAGCTGGGACACAGTGGATAATGGCCAGATGAACCAACCTACAGGGGGTTAATGGTGACAGAAGAGAAAAAAAAAATAAAAATAAGTCCCAAGTGTCATTCTCAGGAGCAGAGATCCTTCCCTGCTGCATGAAGGAATAATCCAGTCTCCTTCCCTCCAGCTTGGTGGTCCTCCATCCTGCCCTCTCCCTGAGGAAGCTCAGCAGAAGACCAAGGCAGGAACATGGTCTGAGGCTCCACAGGGCAGTCATCCACTCCAATCCCCACGGAGAACAGACCCTCCTGTCCCCATTAAGCAACACAGGGTCCTCCCTCAAACCTCACAGCATGTGTAGGGTTTCAGTCTAGCACTGCCCAAAGCCAGGCCTCCAAGACTTTGGTGTAGGTCCAAAGAGCCTGGGATGTCTTTCCCAGAGTCCAGGAGCTGGGTTTGGTGGCTGTGGAGAGAGGTCTGGGTTCTGGCAGCTACCCGGGGAATTCCAGTTCCCTACTGCCAGCTGCACACTGTACTTCTGCTTTCCCCTCCACAAAGGCAAACAGTCAAAGCTGGGCAGGAGCCCAGGGCTGGTCCAAGATCACCTGCATAGCACAGTCCCTATGCCAGGTGATCTGCTGGTCCCACACTGATTTCCTCTTCTCTCCCCCACATCCGTCCCTTTCAGCACTGTCGTGGCAGGGCTGGCACGCAGCCCGCCAGCACAGAGGGACACCAGAGGTGCAGCTGTCATGGCTTGGTGGCAAGCAGGGAGCTGTGGTCCCCACAGCCACAGGGTGACCAGGCACCCGAGTTCCTCAGCCCAAGGACACGTCTAATTTCCAGACACCCCCTGCACAGTCAGAAGAGAAGTGAGAGCACAACAGAGGCAGTGCCGAGAGGGAATTTCCTGTCCGTCCCCCCCCCGCCCCCGCCAACCTCCTGTCTCCCAGGCCCCCTGCACTGAAGGGCCCATCCTCCCACCACAGGCAGCCCCCACAGGCCAAACCTGGCCACCGTGGTCAGCAGGCAGCATCTCCCACGCTGCACAGCAGGGCAGGCATTAGCTCAGCCTCCTGACCCCTCACCACTGCACTAGAGGCCCTGGGTGGCCTCCGTCTCTGGAAGGAACCAGCTCCAAACTGAAGGCTGGGCTCTGCCACCCATGCTGCTTTGATGGAGACTGACAGGGCCAAGAGATGGAGGGTGAGAGCTGTGCCAGCCCTAGCAAGACATCCCACAGTCCAGACGGCCCAGCTTTGGGATGCCACCTGCAATGTGGGGAATAGAGAGCATCCCTCCACAGGCAGAACAACATCTGGCCCTAAAGCACTGCAGACAAGAAGTGGGGCTGGGGCTGTCTTTTTGCCAGTTGCACTGGGATGTAAATGTGCTGAGAAGCTCAGAGGCCAGTCCCCAAGAATGCCTTTTATTGACCTCCTCCCAAGTCCCGCTTGAAGATCAAGCCAGCATCTGGGACCCCAGGCATCTTCAGCTGGAAACCTGATTTTGAAGGCAAAATACATTCTACAGTTTCTGAAGGCCAGTCCCTCTCCACCCTGCTGTTGGACAAAGCAGGAGAGGCTTTGTCCGCGGGGAAGTCCCAGGTTATGCTGCAGCAGGGAATTCCCCACTGGAGGGGGGAGGCCACCCACACTTGCTTGCCTCTGCACAGCCATGAGGTGCCCCCTCACTGCCAGCACTCCCAGGGCAGGGGAGGGGGCTGCAACCAGGGGCCATGCAGCCCCAGGGGCAGGGTCTGGCCACCCTCCATGACCATGAGGCAGAGGCACAGCCAAGGGGCCCAGCCCAGGAACAAGGCAAGCAGCTGTAAGGACAGCCCTCCCCTCATCAGGCTTGTACTAACCCTGGCTTAGGTCTGATCTGAGCGGGGAGGGTCCCTGCTGGGTTTTGCATCAGTCCCTGTGGTAGCACCTCAGCTGAGGTGTCCTTTGCACACTTGCAGGGACAGCCCCTGTTTCTCCAAACCTGCCCCCAGGCACCACGTGCGGGAAGAGGCTGAAGGATCTGCCTTCTTCAGGTACAGCAGAGTTAAGACTGCTCAAATAAGGGACTTTCCACGGCAATTCAGCTTGAACTTTAAACCGCTGGTGCTTTCGCTTTCCAGAGGCACGCTGGGCTCCCAGGGGAGAGCAGTGCTCATGGCTGTGTCCCACGGCAGACAGCCCTCGTGCCCCAGGAATCCCCCGGGCCCCTCTGTCACTACCCGCACCACACTGCACTGCCATGTGGGGACGAGTGGGGCAGTCACCCGGGGGAGATGGAAACCCCCGAGCAGCCCTCTGCCACTGCCAGCACCTCACTTTTCCTGGCTTGGCTGCCTTTGCAGCTCAACAACGCAGTGGAGCTGCTCAGGGCTGGGCTTACACTGAGCTAGTGTGGGCATCCATGCTGCAGAGGCAACGGGGGTGATCATTCCCCGGCCAGAACTCCGGCTTTCACCTCTCAGCTGGGATGTGCCCGCTTTGAAGGATTGCTTTCCCCTCCCCCTTCCTTCTCCACCCGGATGCAGCCTCCTCCTGGGCTTTCATTTCTGCATTCGTTCCCGCCTTTCCTCATTATCAGCCTTCAACTTCCTGAAATGGCTGCAAGAACCTGAGCTACTTGGGGGAACCATCACAAGGCCAGTGGGCTGGGAGGAGCCCACCATGAGCACATGGGCACTGAGGCATTCTGTGCCACGGGCATTGCTGCCAGCCAGGAACTGGGATTGTCTCCTAACTCAGGAAACCTCTTACACCCAGGAGACCTGAGGTGCAGGCACTGTGCCAATCTCCACTTTTTTCCACCCAGGCTACAAGCACACCTCTCTCTGTGTCACAGCAGCCGCGTGGTCCAGCTGCTGATGGGCTGCTGTGTGCCAGAGCCAGGGCATGGCGATGGAGTGACGCCCACTCGCTGCCAGAACCTCTCCTTGCCCAGCCATAGCAGCGTGCCCTCGCCAGAACAAGCCCTCCACCTGCCATACTCAGATCCTTGCCCATCCCGGGCTGCCTGCACGTCTCTCATCTGCTTTCCTCCACTTGCCTGCTCCCTTCCTCCCCACGCTCTTGCTTGCAGTGCTCCTGGCTGCAGCCCCAGGGGTGGGTGTCCAGCAGGAACTGTCAGAAAGGGCAATAGGGGGTTTTGAAAAGAGCACGGGATGGAGGAGCTGTGAGCAAGGGAAACACAGCAGGAGTACAGACTGCTGGGTTCATTCTCAGCTTTTCCACTTGCTCACCAGCTCTGTCCTGGCACAAGGGGACTCAACACTCTGAATCACAAAGGCATAGGACATCCCTGGCACAAAGTGATCTACCCATCATCAGAGAGGTAACAACCCTGGAGCAGAGAGGTTGGGGCTGTCCCTGGGGATACCCCAGGGAATGAACATGCCATGCCCAAAGTGGTCCTAGCTTAGGCACAGGAAAGCATCCATTTCCACAGTGCTGTCCATTTCCAACTTTTGAGTGACCTTAAGTGTCCAGTAGGAAAAGTTTCCACACATGAGGACTGGAGGCAAGAGAACAGGGTAAGGGGTGACACCCAGCTCTGACACACACACAGAACGGATGAAGTCTCACCAGTTCTCTAGCTATCCTTTTCCATCTCTCTAGAAAAGGAGCTGACCATGCAGATCCCCCCATCTGTAGAGCAAAACATCTTGTCCACAAAGCAGCCTCCCCCTTCACCATATCACCCCAGAAGCATCTTAATCAGGGCATCCAGCATTCAACTGAATTCGCTTTGACAAGTTTTTTCCCTCTCTAGATAAGGTCCCTGCCTGCAGCAGGAAGAGCTCATTCCCAGCTCCTTGTTTTGGCTGAGTGGAGCAGTAGATCATGCAAACAATTCACACAAGAGAAACTTGCTCAGGGGAGGAAATGGCCCAGCAGCAATATAAGAGAGCAAGGGAGGAGGAAAACAGCAGGGGAATTCCACGCTTACCCTGCTCCCCTGTTCCAGCCCTGTAACCTGCACTGCTAACCGCTTCCTCAGCCACCAGCATGAACCTCTGCCAGCGGGCTTAGCAAGCACAGCTCATCCTGCCCTGCAGCCCTGAACCAGCCCAGCCTGGCTCCCTTCCTTCCTCCCCACATACCAATGCAATGCTGCCCTGCTCCACAAAGCTGTTCCAGCTGCCCTCTGGCAGCTCCAAGGGAGCAGTGGATCTCAGCTGCCTTATCCCATGTTCTGTGTTCCTGCCCTGCAGGTTTCATCGCCCCTTCCCTGGGAAGGGCACAGCTTGAATTTGAGTGGAGGGGAGGTTTAGGATAGAGGGACTGGAGGGAGGTTGCAGCTAGAGGGATGGAAAGGCCTTTCAGCCATGTTGGGTTCAGCATTCCTGATCTCCAGTCTGGGCAGCAGCTGCTTCCCAGCATGCTGTTCCTGGGGCCAGAGTGAGTGAGGGGTGGGAACCGACAAGTGAGCAGAGGAGACAGTCTCACCTTTCCTGGGGTGCTCTGCAGTGGGTCTGGTCTGAGTGCTTGAGGATGAGGGAAGCTGGAGGCTGACTGGCAGGAGAGGCAGAAGGGCTGTGGGCACCTCATTTTTCAGTGAGGTGGGGACAAGAAGGTACCCTCACCTCACAGCCTCTAGATTCTGCACCCACACATTTGAGAATTTTGCTCCATTTCTGAGCAGATGGTGGCTCTGGGATTGCAGAAGCACTAAACATCAGATGCATGTGGGCTGCTCCCTGCAAAACAAGGGGCCTGTCCCATACTACTATCTAGGCACAGATGGGCCAAGCCAGAAAACATGTCAGCCCACCCAAGCAGGGCCAGTCACCATCAAAGAAGCATGATGAAAAATTTCAATAAAAGCAGCAAACATCCCAAAAAGTCCATTGACTGTGGACAGTCGATTTCAAACAGAATGAACTCACACCTGACTCCTTGGGAGGCAAATACATTCTACAGTTTCTGTACACAGAGAGATATCTTGAGGTCAGAAGAGCCTCTTAAAAGAGGAAAGCGCCTGGACTTTGCCAGAGCCTGTACAACACACCCTAGCAATCATTTACAGCCCCACAGATATCCTCACTGTCTCAGGATTTTCTTTT